AACAAAAAAATTACATAGTACATTTTAACTATGTTAAAAACAATAGCAAGAAAAAAACCCCACTTATGTCCCTGTCTTGGGATTCATTTCCCTTAACATCATCTTATATGGTTATATATACATAGCTTTTGACCTTTTCTGCTTGTCCTGTACATATCCTAGTTATTGCAAATTAGGGAAACCATAGGACCTATGGTTTCCTTTGGGCCTGGCTTACTTCACTTAATACAATTTTTCCCAATCTTTCCATTTCCTAACAAATGTCATTCTTTCTAATGGAGGCATGGAATTCCATTATATATATTATAGAATATATATATATATATATATATATATCACATTTTCTTTTTTAAATTTTTATTTATTTTTTATTGTGAAAATACTGTACAGAGGGGCTACAATTACATGGGCAAGATAATGAGTACATTTCTTATCAAGCATTGTAGCCTCCTCCTTTGTTTCCCCTTCCCATCCCTTCCCAGCCTCCTCCTACCCCCCTACCCAATCTTCCCCACCCCCCACCAAAGTTGTAAAGTTCGTTTTCGACATGATCACTTGTACTTCTCATTGTTGCAACGGGTCCACCTGTATCCTTATTTAAACGACTTGTTTTTCCCCTTCCCCTCCACAAATTATACCGACATCAAATACAGTGAAAGCAGGGGTTGTACTGTGGGGGAGGGACATACAAAGCAACAAAGAAATCATCTTATAATTGCGTTAGAAACAAATGCATGAAAGAAAAAAATCATTTAAATACATATCTTAGGGTTCATTTTCCTAACATCACCTTATCTAACCTTTTCTGCTTGACTCAGACATATACTAGATATTGCAAATAAGGGAAACCATCTTTGGGCCTGGCTTACTTCACTTAATAAAATTTTTTCCAATTCTTTCCATTTCCTAACAAATGGGGCAATGTCATTCTTTCTGATGGAGGCATAGAATTCCATTGCGTATATAGACCACATTTTCTTGATCCATTCATCTACTGAGGGCATCTGGGTTATGCTTGTTGTTATCCTTATCAAGGGCAGTGCTAACGTTCGCTTTCATACAACACTCAAAATTTCTTTACAGTACTATTCCAATCTGGAACTAATTCAGGCCCAACTTTTCTTCTGATGACCATGTCTCTAAGTCTGTTCTAATTATCTTAATCATTTTATTTTATTTTATTTTTATATTTTGGGTCCAGTCGTGGGACCTGAACTATGGGCCTGGGTGCTGTCCCTCAGCTCTTCAGCTCAAGGCAAGCGCTCTACCACTGAGCCAACTTCCTAGCCCCATCCTAATCATTTTATAATGGACCTGAAGCTTGAACTCTGGGCATTTGTGCTGTCCCTGAGCTCCTTTTGCTTTAAGGCTACCTACCTGGATACCACTGAAGCTACAGCATCACTTCCAGCTTTTTCTGCAATTTAATTGGAGATAAGAGTCTTAAAAACTTTCCTGTCTGTGCTGACTTGGAGCCTTTGCCTCTTGAGTAGCTAGGATTTTGGCATGAGCCACTGGTGCCAGTCTCCTAGTCTGATTTTATCCCTGACACTTAACCTGTTGTCCTGAGGAGTAGAGCTGATTTTGTACATTTGTGCTTTGGGAACAGAGTGTCATTTAATAAGTTTTGTGATAATCTTTTGTACTTTCTATAAAGTATAGGTCAAGTTTAATCTAAGTGATTAGTAGTTCTCAAAAAAACTTGGGGTCAAACATATCTTGAGCATACTTTAGCGATTCTATTGCAGCTTAACAGGAGAAACATAATATGTGATTGCCCCACCATTGCTGGTGCTGAGCATGAATACACAGGCTTTAGGGGCCTGAAATCTGTTTGGTTAAGATCACAGACTGATACAGCAAGAACGTGACTCACATAATTTCCACACATTTTTCCTCCTTCTTTCACTTCTATCTCTAGTCAGTCCTCCTTGTCTCCAAGTTCCTTCTAAGTAAGAAAGACAAATAGAAAGAAAGTACTGAGATAATCCCAGTAAGAAGATTTAAAAGTAGGAGTCTACTGCTTTCTGCCTGAAACTTCATTCTAAATTTACTGCAACTAAATATGAACAAGCAGGGTGCTCATCTAGGAACTTCTTTCAATCCAGTTTTGTGTCTTCACAGCTGTTGTCAGAGTCAACATAACTTGGCTTTGTGTCTGTCTGCACAGGCTGCCTACAAAAGATATGAATGTTCTCACAGGCAGCTTTTGAAAGAGAAGTTAGCTTATACAGAAAGCTAATTTACAGGAAAAAAAACCCTGAAAAAACAAATAAGATTCTATCCTACCATATTCTTTTAAGTTATAAGATTAGAAGACCTAGAAGGGGCTAAGCCCATGTTCCCCTCTGAAATATAAGAGATTTGCTAAATCAGAAATGGTAAAAATCTGGAATCTTTCTATGCATGAGTAAAGACAGAAAGAATGAAAGACAAATCTGACAAAAGGAAGTCCTAAAGGTTACCTGTGTTTTGGATGGGTCTCACTCATCTTACCCACTCCAAACAATTGTCTAAGGATTGCAAGTTCCTAGATAACATGGCAACTATATTTTCTCAGCTCAAAAAGTAAAAAAATACCCTACAGGCAGGAGCCATCATTTTGAGTCTTTAACTGATGTCTTTCATGGGGAACAGGAAATGTTTCCCTCACTTTTCCATGTTTCTATACTTTAACACTGTTACAGTAAATTAAATTCTTGCTTGGAAAACAGAAAATAGGAAAAAGAAAGTTGGTTTAACAATGTTGTTAGCTTTTTACACTAGAAGATAGATGCTTTTGGTGTTTGATTTTTTCTGTAAAATTTGATAAGAAGGAATCAAAATGTATGGTATTCACATGGGCAATAGGACACTGGAGTCTAGATTCTGCTTTGTTTCAATTTTTTCCTTAACCAACATGATAGAAACAGCTCAGGATGTTGGAGTTATCCTGGAGGAATAAGAACACCAACTCAAAAGGAACTTGGCAAAACAAAGTTTACTTCTGTAGAATGGTGCTCCATCAGCCAAAAATCTGGCAAGCTGCTTCCTTTTTATTTTTAACCCACACGCCCCACCCCTCTGCTAGCACAGGCCTAACTCAGGTTCACAATCTGCTGAAGATTGGCTAGTTTGAAGAGGGTAGTGTGTATTTACATAAAGTGACCATTAAAAGACTTTGTGATAAATAATAATAAGCAACCTCAAAACATATTCTCACCCTCTGCTATTTTCCTGAACAATCTGATGTGTGTCCTAATTATTCACCCTCTTGATACTACCTTGAACAATCTGAGGTATGCTTTAATTCCTCTTCCATTTTAGAGCAATCAGTTAAGGCAAAAACCTTACATTTCAAAAAATCTTCCTTCTTCCAAAGTACTTCCTCTTTCCCTTTCTTTACATGTTGATATTGTCTTAGCAGAATAATCAACAAAGACCAAGCCACAAGTCCAAAGCAGGAACTTTTAGGCAACCTACTTTGATGGGAAAGTAGGTTAATTACCACCTTGCAACTCTGTTCAAGTACATTCAGTGGGCTGAGCTGCAGTTTACGTATAGTGGTTGTGAAGATTTAACTACCTGAAGCAGTATAGTTGGGAACTACCAGTTATCATCTCTTGGTAACTGTCAAGCCCAAGGCTTACCAAGGAAGCATGCTATCTTTGAGTTGTATTTTTATCCTCGTCCCTCCGTCCCTCCCAGTCTCCCCCCCCTTTTCTTTTTTTTAAAACAATGTGTATGCAGCCCACCTTAGCTGGGAATTTGAGATTTTCCTGCCTCAGCTCCTTGAGTGCTGGGATATTCATTCCATGATCATGCATATATTCCTGGAACATTTATTCCCATTTTGACCTTCAATGATTTGCTTCACTTAGATAGATTGATGAGAAGCAACAATGAATGCTGAGCCAAGTGTGATTTCTAGCTACTAGGTCTATGGTGGGAAGTCTTTGCAATAATTTTCATAGGTTAATAAGTTTGATAAGAAACAAGAGAATATGGGTGTTCATTGGAAGTTTAAATAACTATGTTGAACACGTGACACTTATTGTCCATTATATTGTGTACTGCTGCTTTTACTTTGCTTCAGAAGACAAAACATGAGAGACCAAATATGTATTAAATATCTTTAATTATATGAAGAATATCTAGAGTAAGCAGGAGAAAAAGATGTGTATAACCTTAGTTTTAACAGGACCTCTTACCTGACACCTATGAAGAGACAGTGTGCATGTTCAAGTTGGAAAGTGTAAGTTATGGCTATTTGGAGTAAAAGCAGCAGTACACAATTGCCTGGTGATATTGTGTGTGTGTGTGTGTGTGTGTGTGTGTGTGTGTGTGTGTGTGTGTGTAACTTTCTGAGTATGTACAAATTACCCACCAGATATGATGAAAAAGGAAGTGCTAATGGCATTATTTCTCTAACCCAAACCTCCTACTGCCTGAACTTTCATTTTTGTTTGTTTTGGTTTTGGTCTCTCTTTTGGTCACTTCCTATAATTAAACATTCACTAGCTATGGCTTTGGGTATTAGGTACGGTCATGACCTCCCCTTCTTCCTTTCATCTTCAGGTTCCAAAGTGAAACAACAGAATCTAAAAACACTTCATTGTTGTTGATGTGTTGAACCTATGCTGGTTGTGCACATTAACCATATAGCAGAACAGCTATTTACACAGCAAATCTCACTCCATTATGTATTATAAGTAGCCTAAAGATTTAAAAAATAGGGGAAGATGTGCATAATTTATATGAAATATTATGCCACTCTGTATAAAGAACATGAGCCTCTAAGCATTTTTGAGTCTAAACTTGAGGGTGGAGAATGTCCTGGAGCCAGTTCTTGGTGGATGCTGAAGGATGACTATGTTACTTCAGCCAGTCCAACTGACCCTACGGTATATGAAAGTCTAAGAATTGGGAGTTTTCAGGACAGGAAGAGCTAGGAGTATAGAATTGTAATCTTCTTAAATTCAGGACTAAAGATTTGTTTGCACTTTGTGTTTTTTTCCTAGAACTATCAGAACTTCCCTCTGAGGATCAGGAATACGGTAAGTCATAGTCTGAGCAATGAGATAGTCTAAGAATCTTTCATGATAGCCTATTAAGAAATATATAATTCAACATCTATGGATCTATAAATATTTATGTAATAAAGAACAATTGCTGGCTGAAGGCTTGTGGGATGCTTCTTTCAGGTGATTGATTTCTTTTTCTTTAAGGGATTTCTGTTCTTTGGAATAATTGTGAAAGAATTCCCAGGAAGACTTCCATGCAGTTACTCATGTTTTATCATCCCACTTTACCCCATAATGCATATCCCCCATCTTTCCATCTCAGTTTATGACTTTAACCCATGGGAACGAATGCTCTTCAAATTCTGTTTTCCAGTAAAAGTCTTTTCTCTTAGACTTTCAAGACACCTTGAATGTCTTACTCAGTCCTCTTTGCCTGTTAATGGGGTCCCCCAGTCCCTCACAAACAGTTGAGCCTTGTTAATCACAATGTGGGTGCTGTGGGTCAGCACCCATAGGACTTAGAAATGCACACTCTCAAGCTCTATCTCAGTCTAACTGATCAGAACCTATATTTTCCAAAAGTCTCAATGACTCGTGTGAAAATGAAAGTGTGAGAAGCTCTGGGTTTGAGATTATTTATTCATTGTGAGCTTTGAGATATACTAATATGTGCTTTTGTGCACAGCATTTAATTAGATCCTACATCTTCAACAAAAAGATTATATTAAGTGATGAAAGTAAAACATTTTAAAGCAATTTTCAAGTAGATAATACATTATTATTAAGTATGGTCACCAGGGTGAGGTAATAGATATGTTAATTAACTTGACTATCTTTTTTCCAATATATTTATGATTAAAAACTTCATATTGGGACTGGGAAGGTGGCTTAGTGGTAGAGTGCTTGCTTCGCATGCATGAGGCTCTGGGTTTGATTTGTAAGCACCACATAAACAGAAAAAGCTGGAAATGGCACTGTGCCTCAAGTGGTAGAGCGCTAGCCTTGAGCTGATGAGCTCAGGGACAGTACCCAGGCCCCAGAGTTCAAGCCCCATGACTGACAAAAAACAAAAAACAAAACTTCATATTGTACCTTATAAATAAATATAATTAGTAGTTGTCAATTATGAGCAAATCTTGAGCAAATATTGTTATCTACTTTGCTGCCTCTGTTCTCAAAATTCCTTCATTTGCAAGTTACCTGGGTATTTGGGTGTGTTGATATGACACCACCATCAGTAATGAAATAGTTACAGCACTTAGTATTGTGTGCCAGACAGTATTCTTACTGTTTTCTTTATGTTAACTATGTCATCTCCCTAATGGCCTTTTGAGGTCCATTCTATGTTCTCAGTTTTGTAGATGAGAAAACAGAAGCATATTGAAATTATACTGTGAACAATTAAATGCTGTAATGATCTGACACAATCTGCAAAAAAAGGATTTTAAAAAGATTTTCTATCTTGATTAAAAAGTAAACTTTTGGATCTGGAGGAAGATGGCAGAAGAGCAATTGGGGGCTAACTGAGCTCTCACAAAACCAGTTTTAGTGTTCCACAAAACAATCCAAGGATAGAGAGTCACACCAATTGAGCCATCATAGTACAGAGACTTTGGCCAGACAGGAAAAATTCAAGCAGACTGTTTAAGGAGACAGATTTTAGCTCACGCCTGGTGACCACAGTGGTGGCAGAGGTGGGAGCTGTGGCTGCCACCATAGTAGCAGACAGAGCCTGAGACAAAGGTGCCAGAGATAGAGCTAGAGCAGCTTCTTCTCACTGCCAGCTCAAACTGACAAGGAGAGGAAATTTTTCATCCTTTTGGTCACAGATAGATGGCAGACAGCCCAAAAAACAAGGGAAAGGTGTGAGTACCCCACAAGACATTCCCATTCCTTCTCATACAACACCATTTGAAAGGTAGCCCTTCCCCCACCATCCAAGAAGAACGCTATCTTTGATACAGGCAAAGACTGGGCCAGAGCAGCTAGCAGATAACTCAGACCTAAAAAACAGTGACTGTGACACCATTTTTCAACAGGGCAAAGGAATCTGACCAGTGGGATTCAACTCTACCCAGGGAAAAGTTGCCCTTCCCAGGCAGAGACAGCCCTGCCCAGGGTGGGTGACTTTCTTTTCTTTCCTTTCCTTTCCTTTTCTTTTCTTTTTCTTTTTCTTTTTTTTTTTCTGTTGGTCATGGGGCTTGAACTTGGCTTGGGCGCTATCCCTCAGCTCTTCAGCTCAAGGCGAGTGCTCTACTGCTTGAGCCACAGCGCCACTTCCGATTTTCTAGTGGTTTATTGGAGATAAGAGTCTCATGGACTTTCCTGCCCAGGCTGACTTTGAACTATGATCCTCAGATCTCCGTCTCCTGAGTAGCTAGGATTACAGGCGTGAGCCATCGGTGCCCAGCAAGGTGACTTTCTTTACCAGGTAAAAAGAGCCAGAGGCAACCTGCCCCTCTATAGCAGGCAGCTTTCTTGGCTGCAGGAGCTAAAACGAATCCAATGGGTCAACCTGTATCCTTATTTGACCCATTGATTGTACAAGACACTATGTTGAAAACGAACTTTATAACTTGGTGGGGGAGAGGGAAGGGATGGTTGGAGAAGAACAATGGAGGAGGTAACAATGTTGGTTAGGAAATATACTCATTACCTTACTCATGTAACTGTAACCCCTCTGTACAGTATATTCACAATCATTATCTTGCCCATGTAATTGTAACCCCTCTGTATTTTCACAATAAAAAAGGCAAAAAAAATATTAAAAAATAAAAAATGGATATTGCATAAAATCTGAGAGTGGCTTCAGGCTGGGCAGCAAGAGTATCTCAGTAGCTAGCCCCTCAGGGGAGAGCCACTGATTCCAGACAGGCCACCACCCCATCTAACCCCAAGCTCCCTCATAGTGACCCCAAGCTAGAGAAAACAGCCACCTCCCTCCTGTGAGACACATAAAGCAAATCACCCTCCCACTAAACTAGTCTGGGGGGGAGAATCACAAAGACCCTGTGCCTGTAAGGCAGAGCTTTCTGCTTACTCAAGCACACTGATTTGAGAAACTAAGAAAGCCGCAGGTAAACTGAACACCCCAAAGGAATCAGAGGTACCATCAAGAGACTGGATACAGACATAGGGAAGACACAAGATCCCCCAAATAAATCAAATAATTCTTTTTTCGAATTTTTCCACTTTTTTCAGTATTTTTTTTCACTTTTATTCTTTTTTCTTTTTTCTTTCTACTCAGTTGTTCTGTTCATTCCCAGATACGTAGCTGACAGTGAACATTAGGCCTTCTCCTTCACTATGTGCATGCATACTTCAGATGTAGATTACTCAATTCACAATTTCTCAATCTTAGTAGCTTTAATTGTTGTATTATTTCTTTATAATTATATATTTTTAAATTTTTTCTTTTTTCTCTTTTATATGTATTTTTGTTTTTTCCCTTATTTTTATTTTTCCTAAATTTATGTCTTAGTTATCTTCCCTCTCTTCTTTTCTTTCCCTACATTTGCCGAATCTTATTTTCTCCTCATAATTTTCCTTTTAATTTCTCATCTTCTGCTCCTTCTTTGATTTTCTTAGTCCATTGATCCCTAGTGGTTTGTTGTTGAACTGGACTGTGTCTGTACTCATTTTGACTTGTCAAAGTGGCTTATGAGTTATCTTTTGGTCCAGATTGATTCAAACCTCAGGACAGATTGGATTACTGGTTATAACTGGATATAATCCCCATTCCTGGATCACAATCACAATTACCCCTTTCTCCCAACAAAGAAAAGCAGAGATAGATAGGGGAATACTTATCTATGATTTTGAACCTCTAAAATCTGCAAATACACAGCCCAGGGTTGGATTTTGTCTTAAAACTGTTCTCTGAGATGGTGTTGGACCTACTTACATATCCAAAAAGGATAGATAGAACAAAAAAAAGAGCCTATCTTTGATTGTGAACCTCTAAAAACTGCACAACTCTAAGGCTTTGGGTTGGTACTTGTCTTAAAATTGTGTTCTAGTGTGGAAGTGGATATACTTTCATTTCCAAAAAAAGGAGAGATATAGTGAAATAATCTATCTTTGATTGTGAACCTTCAAAATCTGTGCAACTACAGGGTGTGTGCTGTTGCTTGTCTTAAAATAGTGTTCTGGTGTGAAATTGAAGGTACTTCCATTTCCAAAAAAAGGAAAGGTAGAGTAAAAATACTTACCTTCGATTATAAACCTACAAAATCAGTGCAACTACAAAGCTCTGGGTTGGTGCCTGCCTTAATATTATGTTCGGTGTAAAATTGCATATAGACTCATCTCCCCAAAAAAGGAGAGATAGAGAGAAAATATCCATTATTGATTGTATACCTCTGAAGTCTGCAACTACAGGGCACTGGGTTGCTTTCCCTAAAATAGTGTTCTAGCATGGAATTGGTTTTGCTTTCATTCCCAAATGGGCAGAACAAGCCATAGAAAAGAAAAATGGCAAATCAAGAAACATCAACTTCCATTCAAGATAAACAGGCAACAGAGAAGTTAATGAATAATCCAAAGGATAGTTCTCAAAATGCTCTACAAACACTATTGGTAAACTTGCTGAATGGAAAGATCGAAAGCCTGCATAAGGCTATTCATGAGCATGATGGGGCTAACCAAAGATTAATAGATGAATTCATGGAATCCAGAAACAGAAAACTGAATGGATACCAGCAGGAGGAAAGACAATCCATTGAAAGTAGAGCCACTCAACTAAGGGATTTGAGAGAAAACAAAATCAAGCAGGTAAAGAAGTCCATACAAGATCTAAGATAAAGCTTCAACAAAGAAACTGAAGCCATCAAAACTGATCAATTAGAAGGAAAGGAAATAAAAAACAAAGTAGAAATCTGGACAGTAGGCTAGATGATGCAGAAGATGGAATCTCTGGAACTGAAGCTAGCCTGGCTTATATAGAGAAAGAATAGACTATTATTCAAAACAAATCCAAGAAATATGATAGATCCATTCAACAGATAGATGACACCATCAGAAGTCCTGATTTA